TCGTTTACAATATTGAAAACGTAAAACTGTTCTAAACTGAAGCGTAGAATGCCCATAAAAACTTTTCATTTGATGAAATCAATTCGTAAATATGGCTAGCGAAAAACCAAATGGTGTACAAAAATTGGCGACTTTCTTGTGTATTCTGTGTTAAGTAATATCGTGCAATAATATCAACGACGATGCAACAATTGCAGTCTCGTTCACTGCCCTCCCCTGTCATTAAACACCGAATACATAAAATCTAGCTATCGATTATACTGTGACACATAGTTCCTTGTTTCAAAATTATTCCACTTTTTACAACGCATCGACGCACATCGAAATAAATTGATTAAGACAACGTGACGTAACAAAAACCAATGTATTGCGAATATCTTTACCTACGTACGCCTGTATTATTCGTCTTGCCTCTGCCATATGTTTCAGTAACATGTCCACTTCGACAGAATTTTCTAACGTCTTGCAGTCTTTTTCAACATTTTCGAACACCGATCTGATCTAAAAAAAACAGCGTTACAATTACAGAACTTTCTCGTTCGATGGATGTATTTAACAGTTACATCGATGATTTCTCATTCGGTAAAACAAAGAAAGTGGTTCAACTTACTACTGGGAAGTTGACCACGAAACCAACGTATCGTAGGAAATACAGTAATAATGGGAAGGTATACGATAACAATGTAATTATATTGGACAGCGACAATTCTACCAATTTTAGCGTTGATATCTGAAAAAACATTTTATTCGCTTTCTATGGTTATAGACATAGTTCGTAGCTGCGGACACCGTATGTTTCAGAGAAAACATTTTTTATTACCAAAACTATTGATAGTTGAGATTATAATTATTGATTATATAATATATTATATAATTATTGATAGCTGATTTATAATTATATATTATATAATTATTGATAGCTGATTTATAATTATATATTATATAATTATTGATAGCTGATTTATATAATTATATATTATATAATTATTGATAGCTGAGAATATAATAAAGTCAGGTACCAAAAAGATAGCACTAATTGCACGTATTTAGTTTTCAGATGTAAACTAAATATTAAAGAACACTGCTAAATGTATATNNTGCTAAATGTATATTCGATTGTTTAAATACACGTGTTATCATTTTGTTTTACTAATTTTATGATCAACATGAAAACGTTTCTTCACAACGTTCACAAACAATTAAATATCTGGAGTAATTAATTAAAACGAAAAATAATAAAACGATGCATAGAACTTTACATTTTCAATGAAAAAAAAACCTATAAAATTCGTCTATTCGTGATCGAAAAATATTAGCAAAATATTATGAGTGATCAACGAGTTGCCATCGTACATTTCCTAAACATTTTATACCAGGGGTGTCAAACTCGCGGCCCGAGATGAACATTTTTGCGGCCCAGTCAATATATCCGACGCAAAGTAAAAATAAAATAGAAATAGTCTCGGCCAATAAAATTTCTCCCGAAATAGGAAAGATAGTATCAGAGAAGAGATGTCATGTATCAGGACGTAAACAACAATAATAATATATATAATATATTATATAATAATTATATAATAATAAAATATATATTATATATAATAATATAATATTACAATGTACTAGTCAAAATAAAAATATTTGTTTCTATGAACATTGATTTTGTTTTTGCGGCCCACCTAAAGTTAAGCATTGTTTATTTGGCCCAAGTTAGCTTTTGAGTTTGACACCCCTGTTTTATACAGTTTAAGTCACATTGTCACTTCTAATTTATGCACCGGACCCTAACTATTGTACAATAAATGTGTTATTACTTCTATCGATATAAAAACGTCTAATCTTTTGTGACAGATAATCTTCTTCACCTGGACCACTATGCAGAGGAGAGTAAGCAGAGATAGAACCACCCGTTGAAGCTTGCCTATCAGAGACTCGTCGTAGGGCCACAGCCCTGCCAGACTCAGTATCGAATAATAAGTACTATAGTTCTTTCGAAACACGTCCATCTCGGCCGAGACTAAAGACCATACGAGCAGACAATTTACGACAATATCTGACTACACCTCGGCAACATATTTTATTAATGTGCTACTTCCGTTTACTTATATATATATATATACCACTTACGTGCTCCCGCTCGAAATCGATCGATTTGATCAGTATAATTCAGAAACAATTTGAATAAATTGTGGAATATCTTTTCTTTATTTTTCCTTCTTTTCGCTATATTTCTTTTACAATAGCAGAAACATCAGCAAGGTATAAATGCCTCGATGACATTCCAGAGGTGTCGAGCGAGTCAGATCTTTTTTCCAACATTATTGCCACCTATGTTTCTTGTAAAATTGTGCGCGTGCCAGTCCTCCCGCAGTAGCGGTACCAAAAGGGTTACGATGTTCAGTGCGCATGATAATCGAGCAACTAGACCCGGACCGATTATTAAGCAAAAATCTACGTTGTTCGTCAACGATTCCACGACCAGGAGCCACAAGCGTCGCTACTTGGAACAATTACGTTGAGTATGTGATCTGTTCATTATTGTATTATTATTATTACTGTATTATTATTGCCGCATTGTGCCAAAGAGTAATGTTTCTCACAGCATTTTCACGTTCACATTTAATACAGCAGTCCTGTCATACATTCGCAGCTGTCTTGCAGATGCCATATTTTAGTTGTACTTATAATTTGTTGCATATATCATTTGTTTAATTAGCAGCAGGGTTGAAGACGTCTCACGCGTTCGAGGTGAGCGTCGATACTTGGAAATCTTTGTTCGTTTGTATTTCAAGGTGCGTTCAGTGACAAATTTGTTTGTAGAATATCATTCGCTGGAATATTACTGTTAATTTATTAAACATTTGTGTGCACTTTCATTGATCGCTGGACGCATTTTTCGCGCGATCTTGTACTAACAGCACTTACTATCAAAAGATGCTAGAATTGTGTAGAACTTGATTCAGTTTTATGAATTAATACAACATTTGTGTAATTATGTAGATATTATTTGATATTATTGTATTTATTTATATAATATAATACAATATTATTATTATTATTATAATATTATTATTATAATATTATTATTATAATATTATTATTATAATATTATTATTATAATATTATTATTATAATATTATTATTATAATATTATTATTATAATATTATTATTATTATATTATTATTATTATTATTATTATTATATTATTATTTGTATAATAATATCGTAGATATTATTTCTTATCAAACTTGAAAAGTGATTTTTGTTAAAATCTATTGGCTAGGCCAAACTGTTAGGACCAACGAGGTACATCTAATCTTCTGATTTACTTTATCTTATTACTTCATCTTATATTTTCGTTTTCCTGTAAGCAATGAAAATCTGAAACGATTATTTTCCAAAAAACGGTCGAACCATTTATCTATCTTATGATTCAGTAATCTTATTTATGTGACATTTTTAAATATATTCGAATAACTTTACTTTAAGATTTGATGGGAAGAGAAATAGTATAAATAAATAAATAATGAACGAAGTATTGGGAATCGCACGACACTGGATAGGACAACACAGCACAGAATGTTTTCTCAGAAGTGTGTATTTCTCATACATCGAGTGGGCATAATAATCGTGGTACAAAAAACTTATGTTACTTATCTGTTGTAATTTTTTACTACGTTCGTATTGAAACCCTGCAGAAAGCCTCGATTACACCGACGACGTTCTATTCTGCGCATATTGCGGAATCCTCGTCATTTCATATTCCGTTTTGTATGCCCGATAACAATAACTGAATACGAAAGAGATCCGAAATATTAACACCTTATGCTCGGCCGAATAACGTGGGTGCGAATTGTGCGTAAAACGGGCTAGTTTTGTTTATCGTGTGACTACATATGTTCTACAACTAAAGTAAAAAGAGGAATGTGTAACGGAAGAATTTGCAGATGAAAGATTAATCTTCAGATCATTTTCGTACATACCTGAATAATGAAAAAATTAAAATGTTAATAATGCTCGAATGATTAGTATACCTATAGAGTAATATATAAATTGAAAGCTTATTGATAAGCGTTCTCGGAAATAGCCTATCAACATGGCTCGCCGGCATAAAGTGTTAACATTTATCCCTTAATCCCAATGCCGTGATACCTGCAATAAATGTTGGATATTTATTTTATGTAATTAACTTATTTATTTCCGGGAGAAATTATTGTCTATTCTTTCATAGTCTTTGTATGCAATGCTATTTTTCTGTAACTAATTGTGAGATTTAAAAGACTGCTTTTTTTCTCAATTCTTATGCTGAGAGCTTCAGTATCCTTAATAAGTATATAGGGTGTCCCAAAATTATGATACTTCCGGGAAATGAGGAGTTCCTGAGGTGATTTGAAGCAACTCTTTCCTTAGCGAAAATGCAATCCGCGTTGTTGTTGTCGAGTTATTAACAGAGTAACACTGACCAATGAAAGGTCGCGTACGGCTGACGCCCCGCCCTCGTGAACACTGCCGCTGACGCAGCCGTCTGACGACGGCCGTCGCGACACGGCATTGGCCGAAAGGGCGGAACGCTGACCGCGCTCGCTCTACGATTGGTCGACGTTTTTCGTTAATAACTCGTAAACAAAGCCGCGGATTGCATTTGCGTTAAGGAAGAAGTTACTTCGAATGACCTAAGGAACCCCTTATTTCCTGCAAGTATCATAATTTTGGGACATCCTGTATACGCATATTGTCGGCGACTGAGTAACAAACGTATCGGTGAGCAAATATTATCAGCAAAATTCGGTGTCGATAACATGGTGTCGTCGAAACGATTGTCAACGTAATGAGTATTAGTGAAGTAAGTTTAAGAGTCCAAACTAGAGGACAGGAATCATGCTGTACAAATTTTCTATGACCCTAACACAAGCGACAATAATCATTCTTCATTTAAGAACTGTTCTTCCGGTATAAGCTATATCAATTCGAATGTTCCTACCATTCTCTGTGCACTAATGTGTCAAACAATGAAGATAACGTTCATTCTGTTTACTTGAAAATTCTTTTGAGCGGGTTTTGACATGCTCTAGAGGATTTTCTTGAAACAGACTGAATGCTGTTCGACGTAACGTTTTGTTGCACATTGTTGCAGCGTTGGAATATATGACATCGTGAATTGACCTGACAGCAACACTGGTAAGTAAAAGAGCTGCACACTGTATGTATTTAAATTTGTATACATGCAGAAGTCAGACTTGTAACTTTTAATTGATGATATCTTGGAAATTAATTTATTAGCCTGCAACATGGTAAAGAACTTTTCAAACCAACACATTGTTCTCTTTGCAGCTATTTTGAAGATTTGTAATTGGAAAGTTTATTAACGCATGTGTGATCTTTTTTATATAAACTCTAGCTTGCGCATTATTCGGTCCATAAAAAATTTGTATAACGTTGCAAGTGGTAAGGGATACGCTCTGAAGAAATTCAATAAGACTGTGAGATTTTAGCAACATGCGTGCGAGGGGATCAACAAATAACCGATTGAGATATCATGTTTCATAATTTATAGATACATATAATGTTTCGTGATCAGAGTTTCAGATTTACATACGACGCATCAGTGACTTTTTGCAGTGAAACAGCGCCATTTAAATGACCAGGTCACGTATTTAGAATTACCTTTTTCGATCAATTATAATTTATACTCACTACTGGCGTGACCGTCACTTTGAAATATTTTACTGGGTTGAATATAGAAAAGTGAAGTATGAAAAAGATGAGCTCATCATCTAAAACAGAAACTCCTTAATATTCTCAAGCTTGGAACGGAATGTTAGTGTTAATAGGGTATAAACATCTTGAATTACCATCGAGAAACCTTCGTAACACGGAGTGAATAAACCAGCCAAATCATACTGTGTTTCATCCTTACTTCTCAGCAGTAAGAATAACAATAATTTCTGCGACTTTGGTGGTATACAGTACCACAACGAATTGCATCTGTTTGATAGAATTGCTGTTTAATAATTTATGCAGAAATCGTTCTAGTTATGTATGATTTTACGTTCCTCTCTTAACTAACTATAAATCGAAGTTATAAATGAATATTTTGTACATCTTTTTTATCCTTTTCCAATGTTGCATGACATGCAAATTTACTCTTCTCGCAGTATTTTCTAAAAATTTCAGCTAAGCATTTCAAGCTTCTCATGTGAAACGAATCGTTTTAATGTTACGTTGCCCAAACGGAAAATTCGATAAATTATAACGTCTGTGCAACCGTGCCTTCCAGATTGGCGTAGCAATTTACTCCTGACAGGTTATTTTATTTACTTAACAAGTAAATAACCTTGACAAGTTATTTTACTATCATAACTATCGCGTGACTTCAGTCAAATTTATTATAACATCGATGAAAGAAATATTTCTTGAATAAAAAGCTGGACTCACGTGTCGTAATACACCTGAATACTACTGTCCTTCAATCCCTGCCCGATATAATTATTTAAGAACAGGATTATAAACTGTAGGAGAGTCAGTCCCACAGTGAATATAAGATTTTCAACGTCTCTCAAATTATTGCTTGCTAGAAGGAGCTGTCGCAACAAATTGTTTTACTACGTTACGTTCAACGAAGGCACGAATAACTTCTTGAATTCGTCTTACTCACTTCTAATAATGCTTACACGGTATAAATTGATAGCGAACGAGGCGACAACAATTATGATAGCTAATAAATACGAGACCGCCAGTTCCTGCGTCAGGTTTTTAACCAGCCTTCGGTCACAAATTAATAATATTCCAGTGCGTTGATCATCAATAGACGCAATATATACATAAAACATATGGTTAAATTATAATTAAATATATGCTATTGTTACTGACGTAACTAGCATGAAGATACCAACTCCATAGCTCGCCGGTGTACTTCCACGGTTGATCGTATGTCTAGAGACTTTGAAATAACAGAATTTATCACGTTGTTAACTTCATTCTCAATTCGGTAACTGAAAAAATAACGATACAGTAAATTCTGACCAATTATCTCTCAGCTTGTCGACAAAAATGAACAATTTAGCAAGGCTCGAATAATCGTACCTGTTCTTTTTAAATTGTCTATTTTTGTGTACGAGCTGAGGAATAATTTGGGAGAATTTACTGTATATCAACATTGCTAAAATTATTGTAAAACATATATATTTCTATTAATTTAACCAGTAACATACTTTTACGTTCTACACATTGGCATGGTATGGATAAAGGAATGGGAATTGCGGAAGCTTCTAGGAAATAGTAAATTAAATTAGTAATATTGTAATTTTTAACAATTCTAAAGGATCACATTTACGTATAATAAAATATTATCAAAATATGATTGGTATTATCACCAAATATTACCAAAATATTACCAAAATATTGATTATCTATGTGCAATTTGTTTAAACAAATTAGATTCATAATAAATCTATTAAAAATTATTATTATACAGCAGGAACAGAAACGTTTAATCGCTTAGCTGCGTCGATCAATTTTGTATGCGTTTTATCGATCACACTGGGAGCAATTTCTTTCGGCAAGTTGTTCTAGAATTATTCTAAAATGTGCGAAATTTCTGAACATGTTTCACAAGCATTTTAACCTAAATCGTGAGACAAGTATTTCTGTTGCAACATGTAAAATTGCCATTTCTCAATGACGTGTATATACGTCGTCCACAGCTAAGAGGTTAAAAGTCTGTAGTCTGTAGGGCTCCAAATTATCGTAGAACTTTTTTCATTAAAATTAGAATAAAATATTATAAAACATCATTTAGATAAACGAACGAAACCAATTGTAATGGAGAAATAAAAACATGTCAATCGTATTCAATGAATGGGGTACAAGAAAAATCCTGCTAGTATCACAGACTGGTATGTAAATCAATGTGAAATTTTGGTACGTATATCAATGTAAATTTTGGAAAAAATTGTTTCACAAGTACCTGGCGACTTCAAACAGTCCACAAAAATAGGCGGTATAAACAGCGAGTGTTGATTCCGTACCTGCAATCAATAAGTATCCCATCGTGCTTACTAATAGGAGGTGGATGCTGACCAAATCAGTTTTTCGGCCTTGCTCGTTGAAGTAGAATCCATACATTCGTAGGTAATGCAGTTGGTATTTCGAATGCAGTATTGTGGGGACCAGTATTGTTGTTAATGCAAAGACTGCTAATCCACACGATATCCCTGGAATTCGAAATGATATTTTAGCTCAGTTTTTATGCAACATAAATCCATTAATCGATTTATAAGCGAAATTTGAGCGATTCGTCACACCACTTTTTAATATTATATTTTATTTTAGAATACTTACAATATTAATATTTTTAATTTTAATATTTTTTATAATATATATATATATATATATATATATATATATATATATATATATATAATATTATTTAATAATCATAATATAATTATATAATTATAATTTAATAATTTTTATAATATATATAATATATATAATATATATATATATATATATATTATAATTATAATTTAATTTTCTATCTAAGATACGCTGCATCTTTATTGCCACTCTTACTTCTACCTTTACCTATGTATACGAGGACTAATCGTCTCCCCTTCTCCATGTGTCTTCTCAGCATATCCTGTTCGACAGGATCTTTAAATGTGTTGAAGTCGTTTTCATAATTTCCGTACACGGATCTTAGCTAAAGCCAAGTGGAAAAACAACGTTATAATTATGAAAGTTCTGCTCGACAGATATACTAGTTACATTGATGTTTCATTCGATGCGACAAAGAAAAAACGAGAACAGAAGTGTTCGCGAACTTACTACTTCAAAGTTGGCAATAAAACCGAGATATCGCAGAAGAAATAATAACAACGGGGCGCCATACGATAACGATGTAATTACATTGACTGGCGAATACTCTACCGTCGTTACCGAATAAATCTGAAAAATAGTTTTAAATCTAATATTATATCTAATATATCTAGTATACATATATACATATATCTAGTATATATGATCTAGTATATCTAGTATAAATAAATGATTTCTTAATCATTTATTAATATTTTGGTTTATTTAATCGTCTCACAAGTCTTCCCTATAGCATAGTAATATCATAGTAATCACTAATGTCATAATAATATAGAATATGACACTATTCTTCAAATTTCAATACAATTTACACTTCAAATGCAAATATGCAACTAAGATGTGTTGAAGTTGGAGAGAATGGTATAAAACGCACAGGACTCCAGCAGTAAAAAGTATAAGCTTAAGTACAGGCTTAATACCCTGAGAAAAGTGCGTGTAACTCTAAATAAATTTTCTACAATTGAATTCTGCAGAATCTCTAATATGGTACGTTCTCAACGAACCCTAATCAGATAAATACTTTATATTGCATTGCTACTTTGCTTTTGTTGCTGCAGACGCTACACTTTTATAAATGCGTTATTAATTCTATTCGAATGCAGTCCACTTTTTTTGTAAAAAATGTATTCCTCCACTCGTAAAATCTTCATTACCTGAATCCCTATAAGCGAGGCGCTAAGCACGCTATAAACTGTTCTCAGAATCACTGCAGATAGACTTTTGTCATAGGGCCAGAGACCAGTAATATTTAACAGGGTACTATAGGTACTGTAATTCGTTCGAAGCACTTCCATTTCATCCGATGTTGAAGAACGTCTGCGGAAAAACTTCGCGTAAGCGTTCGATTTCACCTCGGCTTCATATATTTTATTTATGTTGCTTCCTTTCCATTTACAAATTTAATGCAACGTGAACACATTTATGTCACATTACAAGTTCTCACCCGAAATCGATCGATTTCTGTAAGCCTCTGGAGGAAACGTTTAACGTTAAAAATGTATAACTCATTCTGTTTCGGTGTTTGCTATTCTTGTTTGCCTCCCTCTGGCAAAGAAGAATATTTTTCCCTTCAGTGAGATCGTTCAAATATTGTTCGAATAAAGTCTCCTCGGGAGAATTATTCTTTATTGTGAAACACCGTCAGTGCGATAAGATTCCTTGAACTATTGAATCAAAACTATTGAGACTTCCATGTCGAAGTAATCCGAGTGATTGCTGCAATACTAGAGCAGTAGTGTAATTGATACTTTTAATGGTTGAATTATCTTCGAAACATTGCCGATGGAATATTTAACGATGAGCGACGAATGCAATGTCCGATGGATTGTTTTGAATACAGTTGGTATGAAAGTAGAATGTTTGTAAGAGGTGAGAACATGTAAGTATGATATGTTAATTATAACTTATTATAGTTTNCGAGCTGCTAATCTAACTAACGAACTTCTAAATCTAACGTTTTGTATTTTGCTGTGATCGACGACTGTTGAAATAGATTGCAAGATTAACTTTCACTCATTTCTATAAAAGTTTGTTTGAATACACGTAAAGATATTAAATAATATTTTGTATTTTATTCAAATATTAACATTTATTGCGTGATCACAATGGAGAGTTGGAGAAAGAAAGTTTATATTCAAAAGTTACACTGCATTTTTTGATTTATTAAACATTGAACATTTAAAGATCTTTGTATACAAACTTTATCAATGGTTAAAGATCATGACAATTGAGATTGGATGGATTCTCTCGTGTTCGTTACTCATCAACCCTTTGTTATCATTCATTCAATATTCAAGACTCTGTTCAAGATTTAGACAGGCTGTAAACTTACTGTAGGAAAATGAACAATGGTAATTAGGTTTATTCTCACAACTCTGGTGGTACAAGATTTTGTTGCTTCTGTACCTGCAGGTTTGCGACTTCAGTCTCTAGAAGCACATCAACGATTGGTAATATTATTGATCGTAGGTGAACCTGAAATTTCTTCTTCATGTCCACAAAAATGGACAGTTTCGGAAGAGCAGATACGATTATTCGAGCTTTGTGGCTCGTTTTTTATGGTTATCGATTGTCAATAATTATAGAAACGAGCCGCAAGGCTCGAATAATCGTATCTCCTTTTCCCAGATTGTCCATTTTTCAACACAATTTGAGCGTCAATAAAGGAGACATTACTGTATTTCGAAAGTACAGGAGCAGATTTAACACCCAACACAGACTTATGATCGGTACAAACATTGCATCTTATAGGCTTCATTGCGTGTCACGTTCAGCGTTATCAATATTTCCGAAATTAGTGAGAAACGTGTATATACTATACTACATTTTTATTATACTACATCTGCACGAAATCGACCCTGTCCTAATCACGCGCCGATTAGGTGCAGTTGTTTTATAATACTCTTTCGAATGGACTATACTCCTATTCCAAGTGTGATCAAACACTCGTAGTAAAAATAAGGTATATGCGATATTCTGTGTTTGCTAACACACCTAACTTCGTGAATTATCGGTAACATTGGGACGACACCGAGTGGTAGCACAGTAATTAGCAGTAGATGATAGCTTCGTGGATTCGATTACTGTGGAGTGACCAATTCCTGTGACACTTTGGTTTGCTTTCAAGTACAATTTACTTTAAATTTCCTGAATAAAATATATTAAATTTTTGTATTAAAGAATAAACAAATCTGTTGCAGTACATGCAATGCTTTCTTTCTTTTGCAAGCTTATAAAATTAAATAAGTTGTAAATATCCATCTGAAAGACAAAATGTATAAAACTATTGCTATATTTTTACCATCGCTAAGTACTTAATTAGTAGAAACAATTGCTCAATTGTCCATAAAAATAATTGCACTTTATATCGTATTTCTGTAGTAGATGTTTCATAAATACTATTTACAACGTTTAAATGTTCGTTGGCGTATACAGTTATTGCCTCCAAATAATATTCAGCGCTCGTAGTAGAAATGAAATATACAGTATATTCGCTTCCTACTTTCGAATAACAAGCACGCCGTAATACAAATGAGGTATACAGAATGTTCGATTTCTGCTAAGAAACTTAAATTTCGAAAATGTGGGTAACAATGTTTGCGACACGTAAATGGTAATGGGACTTCATTTGGAGCCCCATTTTCGGGTGACAAAAATAATTTAGGTGCTAGATCTACTGCTATACCTCATCTGTGCTAGAGGCACCGAAGATCTGCATGAGCAAGGGCACAACTCATTTTCTCTCTGATTATATTGATAGGCAACTCTGCGAAATAAACATGAGGAGACAGATAATTTGTTGCCTCCAGTAGAGTGCTGCACCAAGCGACGAAGTTTGCCAAGAAGTAGGGATCTGCATCGTTTCTTTCACGAAAGCCCTAACTTAAATTAAATGTTTATTATATATGCATGCACGGACTTCATTATTATACATATGTATAGAAGTCTCTGATATATCCTTATATCTCGTCTGGGATTATACTCCAAATTTTAATCTTATTCGGATAATCGATCAAACTCATTTACATACATAACATTCTTTCTGCTGAATAATTATTAAGCAATGAAATCTGTTTATACTCTTAAGATAACATTTTCTTATTTTTCAGTGAAAAGCCATGGAAATTGGTTATTGTATGGTTCGATGTTTGAATCGCGCGGTTCGGAAGTCACGTTCGTGATAATAGATTTTTTAAGAACAAATGCACTGGCAGTGATTTCTGCAAAATCACAACTATTTTGTAACATTTCTCTTCGTAAAGACATATCTTTTCTTTGAACAAATAGTTATTCTATTTGAAATTTCCACGATTTTTTCCTTTTATTTTAAATTTCTTCATATAATTGAAATTAATGGAAGATTTCAAGTATCATAATTGTCGAATATTTTTTGCATACGTAAATACTAATATCGTAATAATAATACATAGTTATAGAGAAACATGTGGATCTATACCTCAACTTATAGTAACTGTATTAAAGTAAAAATTGATTTTATCTATTAAAAATATTATCAGCATACAAGTGTATATATATATTTTTTAAGAGGGTCAATAGAAATTTTCAAAATTCCTACTACATTACTCTTTAAACAATAGTATGTGCTATAAGCGTACAAAAGTCGTAATTGAGTAATGTCAAATCTGATAATATTAAAGAAAAACAAGAAATGCTCTATGTACGCATGACTTAATTCTAATTTTGTAATTAGGGGATAGTAAGGATAGTAATTATACAATTAGATTTGAGATTACAAAATCCTATTTATTTTAGAACGAAACAAATACATGCATGTATGCACGCTTAAATTATAAGAAGTGGGAGAGACACAAGCTGTTTCAATCTCTCCGATATTTCTTAACATAACGTCACATATAAGTAATGTATCAGACATGATAACGGATAACTTAATGGTTAAGTCTCATTTAGTTGTCCATTGCTACTCGTACCAGTCACACGCGAGTGATTCTTGAGTATTTAAAAGTTACAAATGATTTTAGAAAAGGTGAGTGCTGGAACGAAATTTTCTCATTACGCACTAACTTTTAATTCGTATTTCGAAACGTAGTTCCGCGAAAATAAGTACGTCACGTAAACTACACAACATCGTGTACACATATATGCTACACAGAAAGTTAAGTTGTGGTGGTACAGCTTGGAGTGTTAATCGCGGAATTTTTACAATTATCGTGAAACAGAATAATAGTTTATTTAAACATGTGTTTATATTAAAATTATTAGTTTATGCATCGTAGTAGCGTGTACTTGATTGTTCTTAAATATCAGTATCAGAAAAATCATGTTGGATTAAGTAGTAATTTTGATAGAAAGATAAATAGTTTATTACTGGATCGGAGTTTCTTTAGTTGTTGTTGTGTGAACACAAGATGTGACATATGTATAAAGAAGATATTAAATTGCTAAATTAAAGTTGACAATATCTCATTTTTATGAGGTCTTTCTTAATACAGTCACATATTATTTATGGAGTAGAGACTCCCTTATCCAAACATTTATTCTTTCAATATACTGATATCCAAACATTCTATT